TCAATGTGTCTCAGGTGCTGTGCTAAGCAATATGTATACATATGTGCATATATATTCTGATATTTAATTCTGTGACACTAAAAGGTAGATACTATTTCACATATTTTATTTATTTATTTATTTTCAACGTTTATTTTAGGGCCAGGGGATACACATGCACGTTTGTTACATGGGTAAATTGCATGTCACTGCATGAGGATTGGTGTATGAATGGTCTTGTGACTCAGGTGGTGAGCATTTGTACCCTCTAAGTTCGTTTTTCAACCCTCACCTTCCTCCCACCCTTTCCCCTCTAGTAGTCCTCAGTGTCTATTTTTCCCATCTTTGTGTCTGTGTGTACTCAGTATTTATCTCCCACTTATAAGTGAGAGCATGTGGGATATGGCTATTATTCCTGTGTTAATGTGCTTAGGTTAATGGCCTCCAGCTACATCCATGTTGCTGCAAAGGACATACAGTAATCTCATTTTTAATGGGTGCATAGTATTCTAAGGTGTATATGTACCACATTTTTTTTTTAATATCCTACTGTTGATGGACATCCAGGTTGATTCCATGTATTTGCTATTGTGAATAGTGCTGTGATAAACATATGTGTACATGTGTAACAATTTATTTTCCTGTAGGTATACACCCCATGATGGAATTGCTGGATCAACTGGTAGCCCTATATTAACTTCTTTGAGAAATTCCCAAACTGCTTTCCATGGTGGCTGAACTAATTTGCATTCCCACCAATAGACTATAAGGATTCCCTTTTCTCCACAGCCTCATCAACATTTGTAATTTTTTGAGTTTTTGACGATAGCCATTCTGACTGTTCTGAGAGAGTATCTCATTGTGATTTTGACCTGTATTTCTCTAATGATTAGTGATGTTGAGCATTTTTTTCATATGTTTGTTGGCCACATGTATGTCTTCTTTGAGAAATGTGTTCGTCTCCTTTGCCCATTTTTAAATGGGGATATTTGTTTTTTTTGCTTGTTTAATTGTTTAAATTCCTTATAGATGCTGGTTATTAGAACTTTGTCAGATACATATTTTGAAAATGTTTTCTCTCATTCTCTAGTTTGTCTGTTTACTCTGTCTTTTGCTAAGCAGAAGCTCTTTCGTTTAATTAGATCCCACTTCCCAATTTTATTTTTTGTTTCAGTTGTTTCTGGGGACTGAGTCACAAATTCCACTTCTTGCCACGTCTCCCAGCTAATATATATATATATTTTGTAGAGGCCGTGTTTCACTATGTTTCCTAGGGTTGTCCCAAACTCTTAGGCTCAAGAGATGCCTCTGCTTCAACCTCCCTAAGTACTGGAATTATAGGTGTGAGCCACCATGCCTGGCCTGGATCTTGCTTCTTTATCCAGCTTGCAACTTTATGTCTTTTAATTAGGGTGTTTAGCCCATTTACATTCAAGGTTAATATTGATATGCAAGGGTTTAATCCTGTCATTGTGTTGTTAGCTTGATTAGACTTTATTGTGTTGTTTCTTTATAGTGACTGTGGACTATGTTCTTAGGGGAATGTTAAACAGGGAAGCAAAGAAACATTCCATCACATAAACACACTAAGAACCTCTTTTAAGGCAGGTGTAGCAGTAATAAATTCCCTTAGAGTTTGCTTGTCCAAAATGGATTTTATTTCTCCTTTTCTTATGAAGCTTAGTTTGGCAGAATATTAAGATTCTTGGTTGGACTTTCCTTTCCCTTAGGATGCAGAAAATAAGGACCTGGTCTCTTTTGGCTTGTAAAGTTTCTGCTGAGGAGTATGCCGTAAGCCTTTGATAGTGGTCTGTCACTTCTGTCTAGGTGACTTTAAGATGTTCTTCTTTCATGTTGACCTTGGAGAATCTGATGACTATGTGTCTTGGGGATGGTCATCTTGTATAGTATCTCACAGGAGTTTGTTGAGTTTGTTGAATTTGCATGTCAACCTCTCTAGTGAAATTGGGGAAATTTTCATCGACTGTATCCTCAGTATGTTTTCCAAGTTTCTTATTCTCTCACGTTCTCTTTCTTTCTCTTTTAGGAATGTCAGTGAGTGATAGGTTTGGTCTCCTTAGATAATCTTGTATTTCTCAGAGGTTTTGTTATTTTTTTAAGTTTTTTTTTTTTTGCCTTCCTGCATTGATTTGAAGGAGTTGTCTTCAAACTCTGAGATTCTTTCCTCAGCTTGGTCAATTCCATTGTCAATGCTTCCAATTGTATTATGAAATTCCTGTAGGGAATTTTGCAATTCCACAAGTTCAGTTTGGTTCTTTCTTAAAATGTCTATGTTGTCTTTCAGTTCTTGGATCTTTATGGTTTTCCATGGGTTGGATTTCAACCTCCTCCTGTATCTCATTGAGCTTCTTTCTTAAATGGTTCTTTCTTAAAATGGCTATGTTGTCTTTCAATTCTTGGATCATTTTACTGTTTTCCATGGGTTGGGTTTCTACCTCCTCCTGTATCTCATTGAGCTTCCTTGCCATCCTGATTCTGAATTCAATGTCTGTCATTTCAGCCATTTCTATCTGGTTTTGAACCATTGCTGGGGAGTTAGTGTGATCATTTGAGGGTAAGATGACACTCTGGATTTTAGAGTTGCCAGAGTTCTTACACTAGTTCTTTCTAATCTGTGAAATCTGGTGTTTCTTTATCCTTTGAAGTTGCTGTCCTTTGGATGAGGCCTTCTGTTTTTATGTTCTTTATTTCTCTTGATGGTTCGACTATGGTGTAATTTGGATATAGCTGATTGTCTTCATTTCTGGATGCTTTCAGAGGACCAATGCTCAGCTTGACACTCCTGAGCTATGTGATCTAACTCTAGGGGGCTGGGACCAGGCACATGGGTTTGTCCTCTGGCCTATAGATGTTAAGTATCAGCTGTAATGGACGGGTCAAGGTGCTCCCAGGCTGTTGGCAAAATTTCTATGTCAGGGGCTGCTGACAAAAGCATTCCTATGGGGCAGCAGGAACCTCTGATTAAAGCACTTTGGTGGGATGATGTGGAATCCATTGAAAGCACTCTGGTGGGGCAGCAGGAATGCCAGCAAAAGTGCCCCTATGAGGGGCCATCAGCAAAAGCACTCTGGTGGGACATTGGGGGCCCCCTGCAAAAGCATTGTGGCTGGGCAGTGGGATCCTCTTGCAGAAGCTCTCTGGTGTAGCAACAGAAGTACCAGCCAAAGCACTCCAGTGGGGGGCCGTCAGCAAAAGCACTCTAGTGGATTTCCTTCATACTATAAATGAGGAAATTGAGGCACAAAGAAGTTAGTTATTTGCGCCAAGCTTTTATGGCTAGTAATCAGAGCTTGCATTAAACCCAAGGTTTGTCTGACTCCAAATTCTATTCTGGTAAGCATTATGTAAAACATTATGGGAAAAACTTCCTTCTTTGAACACTCAGGGACACACAAAGATATGTGTGTGCACACAGGAAAGACTATATGAGGACACAGTGAGAAAGTGCCCATCTACATTCCAAGGAGAGAGGTCTCAGAGAAAACCAAGCCTGTCAACACCTTGATCCTTGTCTTCTGGCCTCTAGTACTATGAAAAAATAAGTTTCTGTTGCTTAAGTCTGTGGTATTTTGCTATGACAGCCCTAAGAAACTAAAATACTTAGTGACTTTTTACGTTCTTCTAATATCATTGTGAAATCAGGCACTTATACAATTCTATCCTCTGTCCTGGAAAAGGGAAATCATCATTTCCCTTGTATAGATATATATTCATGTAAAAGACTATGAATTCTTTTCAAATAAGATTAGATACTAGTTGGCATTCATGCTAGGTTTTTTTTGTGTGTGCTTGTGTGTGTACGTAAAAAACAAAAAAGCCAGTACTGAGCCAAAGGACTTTCTTCAGGTATGGTGTATTCCGTTCTTCAGGTGTGGTGTATTCCGTTCTTCAGGTGTGGTGTATTCCGTTCTTCAGGTGTGGTGTATTCCGTTCTTCAGGTGTGGTGTATTCTGTTCTTCAGGTATAGTGTATTCCTGAATATCCCGCAATTCACAGGATAAAAAATGAGTATAGGAAGACTAATGAATCTACAGTTGGATGAAAAGATTCAAGTTCTTTAAACTGAAATTGCTTTTAGGGAGGTGAGATTCTCTTATAGCATTAATGTAAACCATTTCAGGAGTGAGAAATAGGCAAATTATTGATTGTCTGCTTATGAGCCCTAAAAATAAGAGTAAAGCCAACATGTAATTTTTCTTTACATTGTTAAGAGTGTAGTTTTCTCTCGATTCATTATACCTTCGGTGAACATTGCCATTTGCCTTCCCAACTCCATAAATCATTTCTTCCATAACAACAACAAAATGTATCTACCCAACTCTATAAACTACTTTTCCCCTACTAACAGCAACAAAATTGGAATACTTTCATTCCCAGTTAAAAATACTCAACCTTTCCTACTCCATTGGTGCTAAAGTTGGCTCTATTATCCTGTTCTGGTAAATGTCACATAACTAGAAATACACTGGTTAGAATTCCCAAGAAATCCATTGTTTCCCTGATTATTTTAAAATGAAAAACTCAAATGGAATGTATCTTTTGCTTTTCCTACTTCCACCTTTTTCTGCCTGGGACAATGATGATATACCTGAAGACGGCAGCAAGAAGCTGCCATCTTGTAATCATGAAGGGAAATTTGCATATAAAGAAGAGTAAAGCAGAAAGTTAGAAGGAGTTTCAGTTTTTGTTTCTTTTAACAGCTGTACCAGCTCTTGGCTTACCTCTAGTTGTCTTGCATATATAAAATTAATTCCCTGATTAATTGATTAGTCCACTGTAATAGATTATTCTCACACATTTGCCAAACATATTTCTACTCAATATGTGGACCATTTTCTCTTTTGTTGTTGAAAGAACATCCTGTTGAAATATTTCCCTATTAAGAGCGCAGGAGCGACATGCAGATACACTGTTTTGGATTCTCAGATGTACTGTTGTTTCAAATAAAAGTCAGTTTCTTTGCAGATTTCCAACTGGAGGAAAAATAATGGTCTAAAAGGTATGCATACTTTAGCACACTTTATTGGGAAAATGTGTGCATATTCCAATGCTTGAAAACATTAAAAAATAACCACCGTTTTTACTCTATTGGTTTGACTTGCAAGCACACATTGCTTCTTTTTAAATTACTACACGCCACACCCTCTTCCTCTGGTTTCCACTACTGCTCATGTCCGCATGTTCCTAGATTAAAAGAACAAATTATTTTAATGTAAGCAGCAGACCGAAAGAGAGTACTTAGCATTTTAGAAAAATTCCATGTAAATTAAATAGGGAAAAATAGTTTGAATAGAACATACGTGCTATATTGTAGACACCAGGTTTAATTATGACAAAATTTTTTTATTTTCTTAAGATTCACCTGGAGTCACTTTGGGCCTCAAATTTAGAAGTAGTGTTTATTTTCTTGGTCAGATTATAGAAAATATCTGAAGGTGATTATGCATTAATGGAAGTTACTTCTGGTATGGCATCTAGATATTATCAGTGTAACTCAGTAAATACTAAAGCAGAGACCTATTCAGCTCTTGAGTCACTTGACTTAGAATCTTCCATTCATGTACATGCAAATATATGAACATGTGTGCACGTATGCAAACACACTGAGGACATACAGCCTTTCAGTTCTATGTTTGCATGCAGACATTTGGAAGAGGTTAGGCACTGGAGAAAGAATAACGTTTTTCCTATAACTTTTATACCGTATTCATATAAAAGGACTTAAAGGGCTTCATAAGTCTGCATTAGTGAAAGATAGTGGAGGTTACGTTTCTTCACATTTGTGTATAATTTTCCAGTATCTCTGCTGAATGATGTGTTTATGTGAGTGTACTTGGATATTGTTATGTCTGATGTTTTCCAACAAAAGGAAATCCTTGCAACAAACCCGAGTCACAGGAAGAACTAGGGATACATTCCATTTTCCATTCTGTTTTTTTGGCTAAGGTCTTTTCACACATGGAAATAAACAGCTTATCGGAACCCAAACACTGACCTTTCTTGGAGCAAGTTTGTGATTAAATATTAGTTTCATACAAGTTCCTTTCTGAAAAACAGACATTTATGTATAAGCAAGAGTAGATTGATAATCATAAGGCACAAAAATGTAATGTGTTTTAAAGTTAGTACTTTGATTTTTCATGGATAAACTTTTATGAGGTTAAATATTTGAGGTCATCCTTAGCCATAAGTGTAAAGTTGGAAAATCTTTTTTCTAGCATCTTCCTAATTCTCCTGTCTATTTTCTTTTTCTCTTCTGGGTTTTCACCACCTCTTCTCTTTCTTCCCACTATCACCAGCAAAATACCTTTGCCCTCTTCCCCTCTGGAGGCCACATGATATGTATGTGTAATGACTGCATAATGGACCTTATAATTTTACCCTCTATCTGAGGTCCTTATTCTGGACTGATTTCTTTAGATGAGTCACATGATTTCACTGATGTGCTTTCCTAACCTGTAAGCTGGGATAAATAACAATTACTTTGCAAAGTTGTGAGTTTTCCCAAAGGTTCTCATAAAATGCCTGCCACATGGTAACTTTGACTCAAGATTATTATTATCCAGGCAGCCTCACCCAAACTACATTCATCCCTCAAAATTATTCTGTGCCTTCCCTACTCACTACTTCCATTTCCACTGTGAATTCACATCAGAAAACTCAGTGAGGAAAGGATTAGGCAAACTAATTTAAATATGAATTACTTATAACAATGTGTATCCAGATTAATGAATGATGTGAATTTGATGAGACACAGATATAAAGCTGTTTACCTTTTATAAAAACAAAATCATTTTCTTCAACTATTCTATAGAATTTTCATTTCCATTCTTTAGTAACATTCTAAGGGAAATCTCTTCTTTCTCATCACTGTCAGCTATTTGACATCAACCTAACTAGCTTATATCCAATTTAAATCTTTCTCTTTTACCAGCAACAAGATTTTGGCTCTAAATACTTTGAATTGAAAAGTGGCAAGATCTGATGCAGAGACTTCACCAACCTGCCTTTCCTGAAGCTCTCTTTCTTCTGATGGGTTAAGGACAGAGAAGTAAGAAGGAAAGAAAAGTTCAAATGACTCATTTAATTGGGGTTGTTCTTTTCCTGTCTTGACTTTGACAGTTTCTCTGGTGATGATCTCTAAGTGAAAACAACCAAATTCTGATTCTCTTGTAGGGTGCATGTATGAATTCTTTAGGAGACCCTGCAGAGGCCTCCCAACTATGCAGTTCTCTACCATAGAAGATCTGCTCTACCTTGAACTCTTACGTCCAGTGATCCCTAGGGGTAGAATTTCAGATGATAGGGCACCTGTCCATGGTGATTTAGGTTGGGAGTTTGGACAACTTTTACTGTTGTATTCCAAATTATAACACTTGGGTAAGCAGTGTCTAATGTATGCATCCATTTCTGAATACATTGTTGCTTCAGCGGATTGTATTTCCAGTGTCTTTGTCTTTCTTACTTCAAAGAGTGCTGAGGCAGAGGCAAGCACAGCATTTGAAAAGTGAAGGAATTAAAATGGCTCTAACAATGATGAGGAAAACTGGCAAAGTTTGGAACCAACAAAATCTAAATCTCAGGGACTATGTACTCAGAATTTCCAGTTGCATCTGCTCTGAAAATGTGAAATCCCTTATGAAGAAAGAGAGTTTACCTCTTGGAGAACTTAAGGATGTAGTCAGATTTGTGCTACTGAGAAGGTAGCATTCACGTTTAACATCTGTGCTATCCAAAATGCCCCAGCCTCTTACATTCCAGTCACGTGGATGATCAACTTTACCAGTGAGGCTCTAAATGAATTTATTATCACCCTTACAACAAATTTATAAGAAAATATTGATTATGAGAAAACTGTTAAGAGAAAGTATAATTTTACCACAATGTGATCTCAAAGGTTAGGTCATTCCACTTACTTGTTTGGCTTTTAACAAGAAATTAAAGGTCACGTTTCTTTTGTACAGAATATAAAGCCTTATATTTTAAAAATAAGAGGCAATATACCTTACTCAGAAAGGGGTTTACATCTTTACTATGACAAAGGCAAGATGAAAAACTCGTCCTCTCAGTGGCTACTAAAACAAGATATTTTTATATATTTAATTTTATCTTTGTGTACCCACAGTATAGTGAAATGCAAACACTCTCCTTAAGTTATTTTACAACCTTCAGTATGAGTAGCTGGTTTGAAAATCACCTATAAAAGTGCAATTAGAATTTGTAATCTCCCTCTGGGTCACTAAAACTTATATTTAGATTGTCTAGGGGATGCCAACAAGATGGCAGACTAGGGCTTTCCAGTGCCCATCTCCCAAGAAACATCAATTAGAACAATTGTTCACTCAAGAAAATACCTTCCCAAGAACTAAGGAAATCAGGTGAGACATTACAGCAACTTAGCATAGCACAGAAATAAGAAAAGACACATTGAAGAGGGCAGGAAGGACAGATTCATATTATCCAATAATTCCTCCCCAAACCCTAGGCAGCACAGCATAGAGAGAGAAACTTATATTTGGAGGAAAGAGAGAGAAATGTGCACTGGACTTTGCCTTAAACTTAACACCAGGCCTGCCACAGTAAAACCCAGAACTGGGCAGGTGTCTGTGGCCTCAGACCCCAGGCTGATATGCTTGGACTGGGCCTCCAGGCCCACCTCACCACCAGACTAACCCCAGTGGCCCCAAAGACTCACTCAATCTTTTTGAGCTGGCCCTGGGAGTCATGGGCTTTGGATTGCCCTAGCAACAGGCTGGCCTCTATAACCATAGGCTCAGGCCCATCCCAGCTCTAGGCCAACACTTGAAGTCCTAGTCATCAGGTCAGCTGCAGTGGACCCAGCCTCCAGGCCAGCCCCTACAGATATTGGCTCCAGACATACCTCAAGTTCAGAATAGCCCAGAAACAGGTTGGCTCCCAGAGTCCCAGGCTTTAGGCCTGCTTTAGTGCTGAGTCAGCACCCCTTCTCTCAGGTACCAGGCTGACACCCGAGGACACAGGCTCCCGTCCTGCCCAGTGCTAGGCCAGATCCTGCAGTACCACCCTGCAGACTGGGCCCTGTGGCCACGCATTCCACTAGGCTTAGGGTCTAGGCCCGCTTTACAAGACCCCGGTACAAGTTCATACCAGTTAACCCCAGCACTGGGCCAGACCTCACAGACACAGGCTTCAGGATTGCCCCTGTGGACCCAGATTTATGGCCTCCTCCCACAGCCTCAGGCTGCAGATCAGTCTCTGTGTCTCCAGGCTTCAGGTCAGCAACTGTAATCCCAGGCTCTAGACCAACCCCTACAGATTCATTCTCTATGCCAGCCCCAGCACCAGGCCAATCCCTAGCCACAGTGAACCTATGGTCCAGGTCCACCTGAACAGACCTGGGTGTGAGGTTGGTCCTCACAGATTGAGACTCCACGATGACTCCTGCAGACCCAGGCTCCAGGCAGCCCTCGTGGACTCAGGGTCTAGGCTTGCCCCCATGGACTCAAGCTACCCCCATGTCCATTCCAGTAGACCCAAGTGCCAGGCCTATTCTGTTTCCTCTACACTTAGGCTCAAGGCTCACCCAAGTGCCAAGTCAGCCCCAATAGATCAAGGCTTTAGGTTGGTCCCTATGGATACAAGCTCCAGACTTGCCCTCATAGGCCTAATCAATAGGTCTATCCCAGGGATTCAGGCTCCAGACTCAACTTCAAGGGCCCAGACACCTGACCTACCCCCATCGAGGGATAGGAACCAACCAAGAAACTAATAACCAAGTAACTAGACCAGCCTGTTCAAGAACTTCAAAAATAAACCTGCCCACAGGCCACACAAGACAGCCTATCCAGAATCTCTGGATGGATTGACTGGTTTTTAAGGGCTTTCCTAGACAAAGCATGTGCAAAAATTAGGATAAATTTCTACTTCTTCAAATGCACCACAGACATAAATATAAGTCAACAAGTAACATGAAAAATCAAGTAGACAGAATGCCACCAAAATAACACAAAATTTTCTAGTAGCTGACACCAATGAAATGGAGATATACAAAGTGCTACACAAAGAATTCACAATAATTGTTTTAACAAAGCTTAGCAAACTTCAGGAAAATACAGAGGAACAATTTAATGAAAGCAGAAAAACAATAAACAAAATTAGAAATTTAGCAAAGAGATTGAAGTTATTTAAGAAAATCAAACAAATTC